CCTCCCACGACTAGCCCAAGCGCATACTGCTACTAGTAACGTAAACAGCCCAGAATATCCTAGTAGTATTTAAATTTTAATTTTTTTTCTACAAATCGGATTGATCTGAAATTTGAAACGTGAGTACATAAAAAATAGGTGAATCTTCTAAAAATATAAAAAAATGTATTTACATGAAAATATTGACCAAAATACCCTTATAAAATTTCAGGGGTATTTTGATCATTTATTTTCCAGATTATTTTTTTTATGTTTTTATTAGGTGCGCCTTGATGAGATAAATATACACGTAAAATTTTAAGTGATTTGGATTTATAAAAAAAAAAATTTAATTCAAACACGAAAAGAAGTCGTGATCGTCAGAGCTGCCCAAATTCAATCTAGGTCATTGGCGTTTACTGTAGCAGTCAGCTAGTGGGTGTACAGTGAACATTAACACGTGAATTTTATTAACTATAAACAAATGAAGTTACAAGGGAAACGAGATACATAAAGGTACATCACACAAAATTGGCAATCACTGATGAGAATTAAAAGGCACCTCCCTTGGCTAAAGAATAAGCTTTGAGCGTTTGCTTCACGGTAACAATGGAGTATGTCAACCTCAAAGAGATTGAAGAATATCACCAATTTCATGAAAAATGGAAGAGTCACCAAGGAACTCTCGCTTCTCTTTTATACCATGCTATAATATTCGTTCAATCCCTTTTAATAATAACCTTTCCTCCATCAAATTTTGAAAGCAAATTAATTCCCTCCAATAGGCCCCTAACTTTTGCTTCATTGATTGTTGTATACTTTCGCATTATGAAATCTGAATTTATAGGTACTTTGAAGCACAAGTTTGGCTGCACACATTCAATGCATATAAAAAAGCTAGCACAAAATGAGTGTACCTTACAAATTTGGAGTGAAATAAATGTCCTTGAGACCCTAAAAATGGGGGAGGGTGGATACTGTTCCAGTTACAAGGCCTTGAACCATGGCTATAGACCCCTAGCTTCTGAGTGTTGTATTTGCATTATGAAATCTGAATTTATAGGTACTCTGAAGCACAAGTTTGGCTGCACACATTTAATGCATATAAAAAAGCTAGCACAAAATGGGTGTACCTTACAAATTTGGAGTGAAATAAAAGTCCTTGAGACCTTAAAAATGGGGGAGGGTGGATACTGTTCCAGTTACAAGGCCCTGAACCATGGCTATAGCAGTCGGGAAATCCTCAACTTCTTGCCTCCTCAAATCTTCCTGCAAGAAGCTGAGACCGGGCATAAAGTTGGATATCTTGTTCACCTTGAATGTATATTTTTATGTCAGCATAATAAAGAAACTTCTCATAGTGTTTCCCCCCTGCAATACTTAAACTTCAAAATTGCTTACCAAACAAGACAAAGTAGTAACTCCTAAGCTCCTTCTTCAAGGCCACTCATATACATAACAATGGTCGAGAAATGGAATCGCTCTTCATTCTCCTGCAGATTTTCTTAACAGCAAATCATTTTAGCATTCTCCCCTCAAGCACAAACTACTACTCCATGTCCAAAACATCATAACGCTCTGCTTGCTCTGCAAACGAAATTCTCTCTCTCTCTCTCTCTCTCTCTCTCTCTCTCTCTCTTTGCTAGAAGCCATGGATCTCTGCAACTGAAAACGAGCAGGGATGAAAATAAGAGGCTAGAGAGAGAAAGTGTTTGCGGCGGGCGCTGAGTTAGTCTTTTTTTCAAAAAACAGACCAATGAGGGGAATTCGAAAAGGTAGAAGTTCATAAAAAGTTGAGGCTCACCTAAAAAATCTAAAAATTCTTCTAAATGATCATACGATCTATAGATTGTAAAAGGATTTTTTTTTTTTTCAAATCTTAAAAAAAATGTTTTTTTGTAATTAGGTATGTAGACCTTCTATTTTCAATATTTTTATGTGTTTATAGATTAATCTACTCGATCCGCATCATTTTTTAAATTTAAATTTCATAATATGGTTAAACATGAATTTTCAAACCATAATAAGATTTTCAACTCTGGAACTATATTTTCTAGCAAAATTTAGAGGTACACCTTATTTGTACAGTATAAAGTGGGCATTTTAGGAAGAGAGATTGGGCTTAGCGCTTGACGATTTGCAACGTTAAGTCCTACGCTCAATTCCTACGATGGTTAGCGCTTGACGATTTGGAACACTAAGTCCTACGCTCAATTCCTACGAGGGTAGAGGCCCTCTCCCCAGTGACTCGCCCAAAACAATAAGATTGGCATTTTATAGGAAACTCACCGACTAGAAAAAGGGTGAGGTTTGTATAAGATGCCCACCTTGTACTATGAAAGTAATGCGTACCTCTAAATTGTGTTAGAAAGGTTTGTATAAGCCCACCTTGTACTATAAAAGCAATGCATAACTCTAAATTGTGCTAGAAGATATAGTACCGGTGTCAAAAACATTACGATGATTTGATAATACATGTCCAACTTTAATTGTAAAATTTAAAATTACAGATTTAATAGATCGATATATACTTAAAAACGATAACATTTTGCAAGATGCATTATTTTAGGATTTGAAATTCTTTTTTTTTTTTTCATATCCATATATCTCTAGGTCGAGATGAACATCTAAATGGTTTTCCAACTTCAAAACACTCATTTTTCACTAGAAAACAATGCATACTTCCTCTATAATTGCAATCCCAAATAAACTTTCCGATACAAAAAAAGCCCATGGATCGGAAAAACCCGATTAACTCCAGCCCTACTTTTTTCGCTGTCCAAATTATAAACATTATTTTTATTGACCCCATCATCCAAATAGAATTTGGGAAGCTCTATTTAACCTACTTGTGAGGTTCACAAGGTGAGTGTGTATGTATGTGTATATGAGAGAGAGAGAGAGAGAGAGATGTGTTCAAGGCAGGCAGTGAAAAAGAGGAAGGAATTCATGGGCGGAAAGAGAGACGGGAGGAGCTTTTGATTGGATCATTAAAAAAAAGGCAAAAAAATATTATCAATTGGACTATAACAAAAGTAGTGAAGGGTCTAATGTTGTTTTCTTTTAACTTGGAGGAACTCCATGAGCTTTTCATAGACCTAAGAGCTTATCTAGATTTATAACCACAGATAAGGGATAAGGGGTTGGTGCTCGTTTTTTTTTTTTTTGACGATTATTTTTTTTTTTTGGACAGGGGGAGGGGGGGGGGGGGAGGTGGCGGACACACACAGAGAATGCATCTTGGCCATTCCTAGAAATTGCATTTCAGTAACTTAAAGGCGTATTGAACATTTTAATAATGTAAAAGAAGCATGAAAGATACAAGATAGAAAAAATGCAAGGTACTCGCATCAATCAGATGTGCCGCCTCAAATACCAAGTTTATGGGCTGTTATTAGAGGAATCACATTCATCCAAAACATTACCACCATATTGATTTTAGCAATAATAAAGAGAGAAATTGGAGAGTTAGTCGGTCTTTGGTGCTCCTGCATGTGATAATAACATCGCAATCTTAAATCTATGCTCCATCTTCATCATGCAGTCAAATACAAGAGGCCACGTTTTGAACCATTTGAAGTTTAAATATAAAAAAAAGTGCGGATTGTATAAAGCCGAGGCTCTAAACAATCAAATTAGAGCCCACCTCCAAATAGTGTCGAGAAATATGGTTTCAATACTGAAATCTTTGACTAGCCTTAAAATATATTTTCATTTTTAATTATAAAATTAAAAGCTTAAAAAATAGTATAGATCGAGCGGATCTATGAAAACTTCAATAGCTTAAAAATTGATGGTCAAAAAATGCATTTACAAAATGCACTATTTTCAAAACTTGAAATCCATTTTTTTACTCAAGTCCATGCATCTTAATGTCGAGATGATCAATTTGAGGATATTTGGGCATCAAAACAACCTCTTGTAATGAAATTTTTGAGGTAGGCTCTAATTTGATTGTTTAGAGCCTAGGCGCTATACAAACTTTTCCCTATAAAATATGGAACCTTCGTTTTGGGAGAAAAGGAATGTTCACCAAACATACTAGAGATGGTTGAGTGAAAATTTTCATTTCTTCATTGAGTGGCTTGAATATTTCAATATTCTATGGCACAACATACAATGCATTATTGCATTCATTTATTATACGCCAAAATGTATGTACCAATTGATTTATTCACTTGCTGCTAACACATTCAATTTACATTATGTTACATCAGAAAACAGCCCAGATGAAATGCATGCTTTAGAGGCTCGCGGTGATGAAGGTGCAAGACTCTTGGTGCTTGAGGCTGTCAGCAACATGAGCAACCACACCCGCGCCGGTTTTATGTAGCCACTCTTGCTTCACCTGTTCATAAAAGTAATATCAATGTAGAATCATGAAAACATAACCGACTCTGAGCATACATTTATATCGCTGCATATACAATAATTCAATGAATTGTGGTATACAGTACTCCATGGGCATCGACTTTCCACTCCCGTTGATGGACATCGGAGATGAACAGAAGTGAGACACGTGCAAATTCACTTATACAGGTGATCCACAACATCTCTCATCAGGAATGGACGGTGAATGGCCCATTGGAATAATACACCATTGGATTATGGTATAGTTTCCCATGTTTTTAAATGGGAGAGGTATATAGTTGTTTACATGTATATTGTTATGTGCAAAGAATGGCCAAAAAGCCGAATGGAAGCTAACGTCCACTTTCTTCCAGCTGACCTGTTGTAGCCCACGGATCATCTCCTCTGTTCGACCATTAAAAACCACCATGAGAACCTCAAAATGAAAGCTCACATTACAAACACATTATCATCATATATACCTTCCATTATGTCGTGGTATTCTGATGTATTTTGGATATTGGGTGCAGCTTGTGCCACTTCCTTGGCCTTGGCAGCTTCAGGGGGAAAGTGCGAACCGCCAGATAGGATGGGGGGACAGTATTGGACATCTACAACATGCTTGTAACCATCCAAGGACCTTTTAGGAGGCTGCCATGATCATCATTCCAATGATGAGAGAGAATCTTCACCAGTACTATCACTGCTAATACATACTCGTACACTTGCTAAGATTTTGAAGGTTTTTAACAGGGACTGAAAACTGAAAAGAAGGGTGCCGTTAGCAAGACTGTTCCTTTTGCTGTGTGAACAGAATGAAATTAACACTTCAATTGTGGTTGACTCTGTTCTCATCTTTGAGGTAATCACCAATTTCCATTGATATGTACCCTGAGTCATCATTGCTTGCTCCTCTTCTGCCAATGCCTACAGTTTATCTGGCATATTCTCACGACTCCTCAGTACTCTTCCTCTTAGACATTTTTGACATTTTGAGTTCTTCAGTAGAACCACTGAATCTCTGATATAGGAGGCATGGACCACAAGACTGGTAGCAATAAACTGTTCTACAAAAAAGTCTTTCCTTCGTACCTTTGAGACATCTTACAGATTATGGAACGATTTCTTTTTTAAACCTATTTCAAGATTCTTATTCTTACTCTAACCAGAGTCCTTGTCATTGCAATACTGTTTATGAATCTAATTTCCATATTGCAAATTACTGAAGGAAATCGTATGCTTATTTTACAAATTCAAGAAGTCTATTAATAAATTGGACAGGGAAGTTTTTTGGGTAGATCACCTTGGTTCAAGAGAGGTAGGTTCAATACTGAGTTCTCCCTCCAAACCAAGTTTCATACCATTACAAAAAAGGCCTGGATCAAAAGTGAAAAGTGTTCTATATGAATATTTGTTCCATTCCATTGAATTACAGCAAGTGTTGCAACTCCAACAGCATCTAAAATTTTTCAAGGAAACATTTTTGGGAAATGGAGCATTCTCAATCATAAATTGAGTATTTTATCCAAGCCAGTATTGCCCTATGGCACTTTTCTCTCTCTCCTTGGGGTGGTCGATTTGTGTGTTTCTGGCTCTTCTTCTGATCTAGATATTAACCTATGTTTTCTCACTCCTGAAGTAAATCACACCAAGCATCAATCAAATTGCATTAAATTCCTTGTCTCATGCAAGTAGAACTGTTCAACAAGATGAAGAGTATTAATCCTCCCTCACATTCTTGATAGAGAAGTGCTTATTTGATGCATTATTCTATATTGTGCAGCTTACTTATAGCCTCAAGTTATTGATTACGAGCATTTAATTCACTCTCATGTAAGGTCATGTTTGCTATTTGTATCCACACTGTACGTAGCACACTTTTAAGGAAAATATTATCAATATTATCAGTTACAACCCCTATGATATATGAGCAGCAATATTTTCCAGGGAGCAGGCTTGGAAGCAATATCCTACCTAAAGCTCACTGCTGGAATATCTTGACCACCAATATGTTACCCATTCACAAAATCCATGTTTTTCGAGTTTTTATAATGCACAGAATCCATGTCTATACATACAGTCTACAAGGTCGTAGTATTCTGTTTCTTAGGAAGCATACCTATAAAACTCATTTCAAAACTATAACAACATTACAGTTATATTTTGGCATGTGCAAATTCCCAACATGATAAATTCATTTATTCTACCATTTGCATAAGCTTCATCTCATACAGTATACCAACATAATTACTGCATGCCATATTGCTGCTGCATTAGACCAACAAGATAATTACCTTTACAAGCTCTGTTTCTCTTCTTATAGAGGATGTCCGCCAGCCAACCATATCTAGAAAATACTCAAGGAACATCATGGAGAAAAAAAGAACTAACAGCATTTGACAAAAAAAGGCGAAGGGATTGAGCTTCCAGTGAACTAACTTAAAACTGAAGGAGTTAATTCTGGATACGGTCATAGGACACATTAGCATAGAGGATTCGGCATTTGAATGCATGAAGAGCCGATCTACAACACAAACCATAAACGCGATAAGATTCAATAACTTATACAAACTTTCACTCATAATAAAACCAAAAAAAGGAAAAGAGAAACTAACACAAATTTCCCATCGTCACAATCAGAGGCCATCCTGAGAAGAAGCGGTGGTTTACTGGGCCTGCCATCAGCAAGGAAAAGCTGGCAACCCGTTCGGCGTATCAGAATAGGTGCAATAGGAGGGGCAAGCTTTTCCAGCAAAGGGACCCCAAGGAGAAACGGAAGCTAATAATACGGACAAAAACAATGTTACTACTTCATACAAAATTACAAATAAGTACAAGATTGTGAACTTTATACAGAGAATAACCACGGATTACACCACCGATTTGGATGCTGCAGACTATGTAAATATTTAATGACAGGGTTAGCAATGTGCCCAGTGAATAAACTAACAGTGTCAGAAGATCTCCCAAGAAAAATCTAATGAAGCAAGCAAACACAACTAAGATTTCAAATATTTCATATTCATTTTTTGAATTATATAACAGCAAGGCATATGTTTTTTACTTTGTTTTTCTCTTGGAACATTCCATGGATGCTTTTCACTTTTCAAAGCTTGACAGCATAATGCAAAGTACGAACAGCATAGACCACAACAAATTTGATCATAAACAGGAAAATTGGCTGGTCAGCTTGGTTTGATTGACAAACTACAAAGGTTTGAATGGTTTGACCTTCCTCAAACAAGCTGGGTGTCATGAGACCAATACTCAAACTTACAACACAACCATAAACAAATCACACCATTACTATGGTCAGGTACTGTAATGTAACCAAGGAAACCTAGACGCATCTAAACGTTCCAAAAGTAGTGGAAGAATTAAAACATTCACAAACTCTAGGTTGCAGGTTCCAGTCCCACATTTACCTAGGACCTTCAGTATGTGACAAACAACACTGAAAATAGAAGAGCAAATATGTATCATCAAAAAGAAAAAATACCTGCCCTCTACCTCTCACACCAAGATGTGGAGTGGCCAATGTAATGAAATTTATGGGTTCCAAACCAGCAATCCTATTTTGTTCGGTGGAAATTGGTGATTTCACCGAATTTTCTTCTCTTAATTTGGGAAGCTTGTCAGGCTGAGTAGTAGTTGGTGTATCTGGTGAGTAAAGAGCAGCAATTGCATATCTTGTAAACAAGCCACCCAGTGAATGTGCAAGAAAAGATATCCGTTTTAAGCCTTCTGTCTTCTGGACAATTTGTATGACCTGTTCGCAATGTGCAAGTTCATCATAGGATTTAAAGCAAAGAAGTTCAACAAAATCAATACAACAAGAAGGAAATTATCATACTTCTTTTATTATTAACGATAGTAAACATCTTTAACAGATAAACTCGACTCACTTCATTTGCTAATTGCTTCCCAGCTCTATCAATTCCACCAAAGGTCTTAGTATAGCTGTTTGCTGAACTTGCTGGTGGAAGCACCCAAAGATTTCCATGAGCAAATTTCTCCAGATTCTTTATCTATATCTATCTATTCTTACTGTTTAAAAAAACCATAAAGCTATCTGTCCATCCATTTTTCTTTTGCTATTGTTTATGTGTACATCTATTCATATGTGTAAGCATGAGTATTACGTATAATGTAAGTGCACATTTTAAGTAAAAAATGTGTACCAATACATGTGTGCACACAGATATCCTAGTGCACAGGAGGAGAAATCAAATCTAATTGTAATTTAAGCTCATGAAGAATATATAGGTTTGTCAAAACGGGGAATTAATGGTCACAGAATGCCTGATACTCCTCCATCAACATTTTCAATGATTCCCTTGCTTCAAATATACTATTTATATATGGTGATTGGTGAATTGGATTTCTCATTTCAGGCATGATTAAAATAATGATTCCAACAGAGTAACATGGGAGCTTTCGGAGAATCACACAGGAAAGCAACTCATAACAGATGTTTAACAACTGCATAGTTTCAAATGAGATTGTAGCAAGAGAAAACGGCAAAACAATAACACCAAAATTATAGTTTATCACTTCTCCTGGACAATTGCAAAGAAGCCCTTGGTGTAATTTCTGTGAAAGAACAATGCAAAGGGAGTATATGTAAAACAGTGAGGCCCCATGTCATTTCAAATTCATGGAGGCTGGATTAGATATTGTTCAGATGGCATCGGGTATCATCAATAAAGAGAATGGCACTAACAGCAGCTCAGTCTACTCTGTACAAGTTAAAAGTTCCACACGTCCCTTAAATGTTGTAGATATTAAACAAATATATTTTTATTGTGGAAAAAGCAGAAATTCCTTTGTATGTCCTCTAAGAGTTGGTTAGTAAAGTTTAACACATGCCAAAGTATCAGTACGAAATTTATTATTCCAAAATCCAAATCAGCGATGCATTTGTTTTCTCTGAATCAGTCTTTGGAAATGTCTTTACATTATTAATCTTACTCAAAGGGCAACTATTATGCTGTTGACACACATGAGAAAAGCTTATTTTTCCTTGTTGGTTGTATTCACAGAAAACAGATCAATATCAAGTGACCAGAAAGTTTTCAAAGTACATGCGTCATATTTTATACCGAAAACATCTAAATAGGCTATTGTTAAAACTGCATAAACGTGAGATTATAGAATAAGGCACAAGAGACTGATCAAACAATCATTACTTGACGAAAACAGAAAATTGGAGATGAACATCAACAAGAAGCACTTGGCCGTACCATAGATAAGAAATTTGCTTCCCAGTCGCCTTTTCAATTCTGCTTCTACATATGTCCAATCACTAGGGCTGCAATTTTCCAGATGATCCTTACATTTTAAAATGTATTCAAATAAATGAAAAATGACACAGTTAATGCAACTGTAGGAAGTCAGCTTGGAAGCATTCATGATAAACAATTCTGCGAGGAACAACAAGTTCATAGGTACAGTACCAATTTTAACATATTAAAAATAATAAACGTCATGCGCTTGAGTTATCAAAAGGATAGGTCGATAACACAATCTTTTCAAATTAAACCTCTACCAAGAACTTTAAGATTATATACTTAAAATTCAATTGTAAATTAACAGATGGATGCACTCATTAGAAAATAAACACAAGATGGATGAGTGTCCTTAGTCCTAAACCCATGAACAGACTTAACACGCATACAGACCAGAACTTCAATGAGAACTAATGAACGCTACAAATAGTTCCAAAAACATTTTTGGAAAAAATAGAATGATCATGAGCTACTCCTTTACCATTTCGAAATGCTGATTTCACCAAAATATTAATCAAAGTAAAAAGAATTGTGAAAAAATACAACCATGAATAATATAAAAAAGATCACTTCTATGGAAAATTGACAAACATCCAGGGAGAAGTGATGTAGTTACCCGAAAAACCAAAGCAAGGAATAACTGTGATAAAGGCCATCAATAACCCATAGAAGATACAACAAAATGTGGAAGAACTATGACTAAAGCCATGAATTTTTTCACAATAAACCTCGATGAAAGACACAAAATAGGCAACGCCTAAAATTCTATGGTCAAGTGTCAGTTGTCTTAATGATTTATGTAATGTGAATTGGATGAAACTATTCGACAATAATTGATAATGGAAATTTTTGCAAAAACTAATAAAATAGTGAGACAATTATTTGCAAAAAAAGTAAATCATGGGCATGAAATACCAGAACACACTAAGGAAGTTTGATTGTGTGTGATAGTTGTTCATGCTTTGTGTTTAGATATTGAAACATAATCATGTCTAGATACTTTATAGAATCCAAAGCAGGTGAATTAATTTTGTAATCAATAGATGATTACGAGCATAGTGCGAGAACTTGGTTGTCTTGAAATTGCTGGTCAATTCAATGCAACAATTTCAAATCAAGTATCACAAGTCTCAACTTGACACAAACTTGACCCAAGAACAGACAAACTAGATCAAGTTTGTGAGGTTGATTGACTTGATTGATCATGTGACTTGGTGAGTCCATGCTTCCTTCTTTCCTGTGACTAAAATTTGAATGTGGTTCCTTGTTCTTGAAGACGAATTTGCACACTTTGGAGGTGACTTATGCTCCTCTCACTATAATTATGGTTAACTTACAATCCTTTCATATCCCATTATGGTAAAGGGAAACTCCTTAAATATCATTGGAAAGGCCCAACATGAGTCAATGGCAAGGACGCTTTCCGGTTATTTTTGAGGTCCTTAAGAGATGCCAGTCACTGCTGAATGCTGATAAGGAGGACAACTACGTAAATATCATCAGATGGGCTCGACATGAAATTATGGCCATGGTGCTTGCTGGGTATTTTTTAGGTCTGTATGAGATACCAGTCCATAATGAAAATTGATAACCTTCTCTGACATTCTATATGAGGCCAATAGAGTAGCAGAACTGCTAGGTAATAAGGTATTAATCAGACCACACACTAGTTAGAGGATCACTATTCTCTCCCCTCCCATCCCTCTCTCCTTTTTTTTTCATCTATCCCCAATCTACAAGCCTGACGATATGTCTTTAACTACTGCAATGATAGGGCGTACAAATTCATTGTCATCCATGTTGTCTACCTCTCTTTGAATATTTTATTGCACATTTTTCTCAAGTTTGTTATTGTTTGTTGTTTACTTATTTTCACATTGTCCTTCAAGCTCTGTATTGATGAAGTCAGTTGCTATTACCAAAAACATGAGGGAGTAAAAGCATGTTATAAAATTGCAACTTTTGGTGAATTGCAGGAACTAGATTGGGCTTTAAGATTCATCATATTAGTCTTACAATCCACAGGATTTAACTAAAAGGTATGGATATAAGAAACCATTTTGCTTATGACTTGATTCCTGACCATAGGTTTCTGTGTTTCAGGATTAGATTTAAATAACATTGCTTGCATGTGGCTTCTGCTTCTGTTTCATTGAATAAAACAAGAGGTTGAAGCAATTTCGCATAGTTGTATTCCTCATGGTTTTGGAATGTTTGAAGCAAAAGATGATTACCCAGGAAAGTTTTTGGATGAAGTTCAGAATATTTTGCAGTTTTGAACTTTGCATCAAATAGCCAAGATGGTTTCTGACATGCTCATTTGCTTGTATGAGGCTTCTGCTTCTGTTTCATTAAATAAAACAAGTGGTTGAAGCAATTTTTCATAGTTGTATTCCTCATGGTTTTGGACTGTTTGAAGCAAAAGATGACTACCCAGTAAAATTTTTGGATGAAGTTCCAAGATTTTCAGAATATTTTGCAGTTTTGAACTTTTCATAAAATAGCCAATATGGTTTTCTGACATGCTCATAATGTAATCATCTTCTATGGCCATTTCCTATCCTTAAATATTCCTTCTTACGTATGGCTCATCCAGTTACCAATAAAAAGCCCAAGTGTATGTCAGGGAACCTTATTTTTTGGTTATAATTTCAATGTCAAACTATCAAGTTGAGCACCAATGAGTAAGCAGGAAGCGGTCCTCTCATAAAGGCCAACTGAGTTGCTAGGTCATGTAAGGAACTCGAAAAGAAGTTACTAGTCCATCAAGTTAACCAAAAAATATTACTTTATTCCCCGGGAAACTTATTAAAATACCCATAATAGATGAACTATTTAATATTAAATATACCCAGTTGCAACTATTCCAACTCAAGATCATGCATTTTTTATGGGCATTAGGAAATTAAATCAAAAGATATGGGTAAGGTATTAAATTGTTCATTTCTCATGGGTAATTTGATAAATTTCCTCATTCTGGTGATCCTATCCTAACCTGGGGGGTTGTTATCTGATCGCTCGATTTCCAATGTTGAAATCCCTAAAACAGCAACTGGTAAAAATAGCTTTGAATTACTCTTCAGACTCCAAAATGGATCTACAGTTTTAATCTTCCTTATAATCAACTAATATGATCCACCAGGTTCTTCAGGATTATACGAATGGGAAAGCAACTTAACAGAGAATATCTCCCAATCCATAAGGAAGTTCATGGAATCATTCTAGATAAACAATTTTTAAAAGATTTTCAATTTGAAAATAGAGATTTGGACCTATTTTCACCGAAACAACATAGCGACATAAGTAAATCCAGGATGGGACGACACTTGTTGCATGGCTACAATACTTGTATACAACTAATAAAGGGAAAAGTAGAAATACATAAAACAATTAAAAGTTTGATTCAACTAATACTTTGATCCCATTCCAAAGTTACAGATGCTCATTATTGGTAGTCTAAACCACGAGAATTCCAATTTCTCAATCTGATATCAGTACCTTGCAAAGATGCCATGAACAAGTACAAGAAGATGATCAGGATCTTCACTAAACTTCGCGTCTCCACTGGGTGTCAAAACATTTATGTCTGTTGTACCAAGCGCATTAGCTTCAAAGCTTGAACTATTCGACATATTATTCAGACCTGACAACGTTAAGTTATATCAGTCCATAAAATTTAATTAATATGTGCACGAAATGCTTAATATCAGTGTGCTAGGACTCGGCCTAACCGTATGGGCAAGGCCGAATTTCCCCCAGTTGTGTGTACAAATCAGGGATATAAAAAATATTCAAAATTCCCAATAAACCACAAAAAATCTGGGATTGATCTATAATTTTCGTTGCGTATGATTTATATGTTTTTGACAAGATTGGTGAGTGTATTTTCCATAAATTCCTAGTTTTATATTTTTCCTGTTTTTTTGGATTTTTTAAAATGCCGCCAACTATAAATCGGTTTTCTTTCTAAATCCACTTTTTCAATACCTTTTTAAGCTTATTTGGACTCCTTAAAGTTGTTTTTTTGTTTAATTTTGCTTTTAATACATTTTTTTTTTTTTTCTGTTTTCAATTTATTGAGGGGTTTTCAGCAATGTGCAGGACTTGACCGAGCAACTCGCCTTGGACAGAGGGCGAGTTCCCTTGTCGAGGCAAGTCCCGACACAGTTTAATACTCATATGTGGCAATGGTTGAAACATGAGACATGAAAAACACCAAGCAGAGGAAATGCGCACAAAGATGCAAGCACAAAGCTTTCTCTATACTATGAGCAAAATACATTCATAAAAAAAGAAAAAGGGGCAGGATATGAGACACAATGGATCATCACTCATGTCCTTGGGTACAGCTCAAAGCAGAGAAAGGACAGACCTTCGTGACAGGGTTCACCCAAAGTTCACAACAATCACCAATTTTCCATTTACCATCCCAGTACAAATGACATTCTACTGCACAATGACAATCTACAGATGCAAGGACTCTTACTATTCACAATGGACGAGGATGAGGATGATGACGAATAAACCTGAAGAAATTCATTTAATTTACTCATTCAATAAGGAAAGAACATTACTGATTTAAAAAAAGAAAGAAAGATACCTCAATTTGCAACACGAGAAAACTTCAAATTGTATCAAATCATTTTAGAAACTTTTAGCAATAAAAAAAAAGAAACACAGAAAAACAGGCACAATATACATACAGTTAATCATCCATGCGAATAATATCCAACCAATCAATAGAAAAAAACCACAGAAATCAAGCAAATATATAAAAATAAATAAACCATTAATTCAAGTCCTTTAACAACCCAGTTCTTTCCAATTCCACGTTCTTTAGTAAATTACACACGAACTTCATAGAAACAATCGAAAACACCAAACAAACACACAATAACAAAATAGACCAAGAAACAAACAAACAAATAAATAAAGCCACAGGATTAAACTTAGGAACAGGGAAAATCCTACAAATTGCAGAAAGCTCACACAATTATGAAGAATTTAGCAACCGAGAAGTCAATCACCCACCAGTGAAACAAAAGAGATTATGAGGGATCCCTCGATAACCTAACGACAGCAATCGATAAGAAGGCGGCAAAGAAGAATGAGAAGAAGTGAATTGGGGCTTGATATTAGGGTTGTTGTTGTAGAAAGAACAGGGGCAAATGTGGCCATATATAGCCACGGTAGCCATGGCTGAGAGCTCCGCCTCTTTACTCTCTGTCTCTCTAATGGAAGCCCATGCTATGTCGGAGCGTGCAATCAATCCTTACGTCACACGCATCGGTATCAGCTCTGATCCCATTTCCTATTTTTAGGAATGGGATAAGAGTGAGAGAGAAGCAGAAGACGTTAAGTTCCCTCTTTAGGGAGAGACACAGAGGTGGCGTTTTGCCTTTTCAAAGTTTTGGGCGCAAGAGATTTCCACCGTATTTGTCGGTGTTTGGAAATCCGGTTTGGCCGAGTGGATGGGTAAATGAGTCACTGGACCATTGTGGATAGGCCAATTTGCGGTTTGGATGGACATATTAGTTATTTGGATTGGAGAATTGGCGATTCGGATCGACAGCCTAGCCGGTCAGATACTTTGAGATAAAAATGAAAAATCAGATGGACAGATTAGTTATTTGGATTGGAGAATTGGCGATCTGGATCGACAACTTACCCGATTGGGTACTTTGAGATAAAAATGAAAAATAATGGTCTCATTGCATCTAATTTTTAAGATAAATATGATTATATACAATGAGACCATTTACCTTTGATACAAGGTGATCACAATTACTCAACCATCTGATGTGAAATTTGATAGCTTGGATGTGTCACAAAAGTTTGAGAAAATTTCTTTTGAAGTTTGAGCTTGGTCAATGGAATAATTGCAACCACCCAATTTCACATTTAATGGTCAAGATTAATGTGACCACCTTATATCAAAGTAAATGATCTCATTCTATACTTTCCTTTTGTCTTATTAACAAAAAGACTTAGTTTCTATTCGGCCAAACCGGCATATGTAGAAATACGGGCCTCTTAATAAATTTATTTTTGATGGATTTTAAGACTTAATTTTTTAGGACATGTAATCTCTGACATGGAGATCATGAATATGAAAAAATAAATTAATTTGAAAATTAAAAATAATTAATTTAGCAATAAAACATTTGGATTGTTAGTTTCCATTGTTTTTAGATGGAACGCTTACTTGCATCCATCTTTAAGATGGATGCTTTACGCTTTCTTGACCGCACATGTAGGAATGCGGTTTGAAATATTTTTATTTTAAAAATATGTAAATACTAAGTCTTGTTTGTACTTGAGTATCACATATTCATTTCACAATTCTAAAAGAAATCTAAATGCAAAAGATTACACGAATGCGGATCGATAGGAACATAAAATTATCAAGATTATGTGTACATCGTTCAAAAGATACCGCCTAATACCCAAACGAAAGACGAGTCATTTGCATCCTTATTTACTATTGCAAAACCATTGAGATAAAGTATTGACCTGATCGATGTATTGTCTGGGGGTTTAGACCCTTAAGAAATATGCGGACTACACTTGGCCCATTCATTCATGAACATATCATGCATGGTCCGACTCTCTCCTAACCCGGATTCTCTAAAAGGGGATCAAAGATGCTTAAAAAGTAGTTCATGGGAGAGATGGCATGGCTCATGCCCATGCAAGTGGTCTTCAACAAGGGAAGTGGGCTTTGCTGGCTTTGATGTTTAATTACTCTGCATCAAACCATTAAGATGGATCAACCCCTTCTTAATCAAATTTTGGATAATATCTTTAATCACAAAATAATCTTTTACCACATGGCCCAACATCTTATGGTAGATGCAATTGTTGTGGTGATCATGGAGTTCCACTTGCTCAGATCTCTTCGGCTACGGAAGAGGCATCATCTCTTTATCAAACAACATCAGAAGGATAATCACAGTGTATTCCCTATCAAAAGAATATCTTCGACTGAGTCTCCAATTTAGAAAAGGTTTGTTATAAATCTAGGTTGGTGACACTTGATTTATTGGTTTTGGTTCCTGCTGTGCTCGAATCCCCTGAGATGCATTTTTTGCGGTTGGCAACCTTTTTGAAAACCTTGATTGTGACTCAGGTTGGCATTAAAGGTAGTTGTCATGGACGTCTTTGCTGGTTACGACGGCCTAAACGTTCTCGTGTTCTGGTTCCCAGACCTCTTTGGAGTTTCAAGATAACCATTTCCCCATGATGCTTTTATAAGTTTTCGATATTAACTGCTTTCGTGTCGTACCGACAAAGATGTATGGACATGAAGCCTCAACCGATACCGGTATCTCTTTGTGCATAATCCTTATGCTGGTCCGCATCGTGCCAGGCTCAAGAATGGGTTTCGTTTGATCGATTGCCATGCATATCCGCCTTTGAATTAACTTCTCAGCTGGCTCCTCAAACTTTTGTGTCATTTTTAAGATTTCTACGGCTAGGACCTCCCTCTAGACCTTATAAAAGCGCTAATTGATTCTCTCTCCATCTCGACCACGTCTGAATTGAATTTGGTGAAATTCGAGAGTACCACTTAAATGTCGTCTGGAACATGTCTCCATAAACTACGTTAATGGCAAACACTTATCGGTTGTCGTCTCTTGACGGGCACAAATGAAATGGGCAATGGGTTGCTATGGACAACCTATTCCTATTCAACGTGGGAACTTCCATTTGGAAATAGAAGTTTGTTGGCGTCGCATCCCATGAGGGAGGGGTACCAGTGAAAATGGTCTTTTTAAAAAGGGCAGTTTTGAAAAGATGAAAATATGATTGGTTGACCGAGCCATGACCCTTTAGTATTTCCTCTTATCTCGGGTAACCTTTTAAGAAAAGCAATCACACGAGGGATTTTGTGGTTGCTTTTGGGTTTTAACCAAAGGCATCTCTTTTTAGCCCATTTTTTTAGGATGTAGGTTAATCAAATATAAAAATAACGTTCTCTATCTTCTTTTGTAAAGAAGAAGACAAAAAAAAGTTATCATTCTCTTGAAGAAAAAAAAAAGGAGAGAAAATTATCATTATTTGAGAAAGAAATAAAAGAGAAAGTTACACTTCTTTTTAAAGAGAAAGAAAATGAAAACAAACCAGTATCATCTTCTTAAGCTTTTTTTTTTGTTGGGAAAGAAAAAGAGAGAGAATAGAAAAAAAAAATAACATTTTTTTTTAGAGAGAAACAATTACTAAAAAGAAAAAGAATTTTTGAGAGAAAAAAGAACCTCAAAAAAAAAAAACCTAGAGTGAGAAGTCTCCAGAAGAAATTAGTGATTTTAAAAAAATTTGTTTTTTGAAATACTATTGTGACTATTGAGTTAATAGTAGATTTATCTTTTTCTCATGTACATGTAGCCTGAAATGGCCAACCAAGTAAAATTTTGATGCATACATACTTTAGCATATTTTTGTATCTCATATATCCACATTCCAGTACACGCATCCGCATTCGTATGAAAAGGCTCTAATTGAGTGAATCCAACAAAGATGACCAATTTTTGATGGCATGCCCAAAGGCTATCCAGCTAAAAAGACTATATTGTAGTGGTTCTTCAATAGAGGGCATAATATGTAAAGTGGGATTTACTTCACCTTGGAGTTTTGATAATATCTCCTAAATGTCAAATGCAAACAT